ATGCTCTGAGAGGATGCTTTGAGGCCACAGACTGGAATGTCCTCTGTGAACCTCATGGAGACAACATCAACACCATGACTGAGTGTGTGACAGATGATATAAACTTCTGTGTGGACAGCATCGTTCCAATAAGAACAGTGAGGTGCTTCCCCAATAACAAACCCTGGATCACCAGTGACCTGAAAAAGCTGCTGAACATCAAAAAGAAAGCTTTCAGGGATGGAGACAGGGAGTTATTGAAGATCACACAAAAACAACTGAAAAAACAGACTAAGAAGTGTAAGGAGGACTACAGGAAAAAGTTGGAGAGCCAGCTCCAGCAGAACAACGTGAGGGGTGTGTGGACTGGAATTAAGACTATCACTGGCTTTAAATTAAAGGGGGATCAGACTGATGGAGGTCTGGACAGAGCTAACGAACTGAACATGTTCTTCAATAGGTTCAGTTCCCCCCCTGCCTCTCTTTAGCAAGACTAAAGAGATGATTGTTGACTTCAGGAGGAGCAAGAATAAGCAGCATAGTCCTGTCTACATCCTGGGAGAGGAGATGGAGGTGGTGGAGAATTACAAATATCTTGGAGTTCAGCTGGACAACAGACTAGACTGGAAATGCAACACTGACTACATCTACAAGAAAGGTCAGAGCAGACTCTACTTCTTAAGGAAGTTGAGATCATTCAGTGTCTGCACCAAGATGTTGCAGATCTTCTATAAGTCTGTTGTGGAAAGTGCAATCAGCTTTGCAGCCATCTGCTGGGGCAGGATTGGAAACATCACAAGGGAGAGACTTCCTACCTACAGACTCCCAGAAGAAATCTAAAGGTGAATTTTTACGCCAAAGATTGTAGTAGTATGATATATGAGAAGTAAAAGTAGAACCTGCGGATGAAAAATGCTTGTCAAACCTTGTTGTTGACCAAGTCACCAAACTTTAAATGATTTTTATTAGATTTGATGAGGCGTTGAATACATGTGGGTTTCATGTCCTCGTGACTGCTGAAAGTGCAGTTCTGCTGCAGTTCTTGTTCATTTAGATTGGGGCATGGTCTTCTTAACCTGAAAATGTGTGAGGTGTTTCCAAGCTGGCTACAGAGTAGAAAGACTTAACTTAAAGGCAAAGGCTCTGGGAAGATGGATCACCTTTGAGTTGAGTCTCAGCCACCATTAGATGGGCCATAACACCAACAAGTGTTGGTGAGTAATACCGAGGGAGCTGTTTACGTTTCACACTGTTTTTGTGTAAAAGTTAAACTATGCTATACATATTAATTTGTTTAGGTTGAGATGTTCTGTCTTTAGAACAGATAATGACATGTGCAGGTTTATTATGAAGAGTGTTACTGTCCATCCATCCATCCATTATCTATGCACCGCTTAATCCTCATTAGGATCGCGGGGGGGCTGGAGTCCATCCCAGCCGACTTTGGGCGAAGGCAGGGGACACCCTGGACAGGTCGCCAGTCCATCGCAGGCCCACACAGACAACCAAGCACACTCACATTCACACCTATGGACAATTTAGAATCACCAATTAACCTCAACATGTTTTTGGAATGTGTGGGAGGAAGTGACGCGAACCGGCAACCTTCTTGCTGCGAGGCAGTGTTACTGTCCAAAACACAAAAGACATGTTTACAGTGTTAAGTGTGACTAAAGGCTTCCAAAAGTTTCATCTCTCCAACCTAACAGGTGCAGCAAAGAGGATCAGACAGGTGAGTGAAAACACCTGTGTGAGTGGACCATGAATGTTTAAGGCCATGAACAGTTTTCTTGTTTGTTTTGTTTTGTTTTTGATTGCACATTGTACAGATATTTTCCGTTCTTAGATGGGAAGCACTTCAGATTGGAGATAACGCAGACATTTACCAAGTTTCAGATTTCCCACAAGGGGGAGCTGGTAGCAGATGGCTAAAGCACAAATGAACTGCCTTGTGGACCATCAAGCTCCAACTGCCTTTGTGTATATATTTATCACAGCCAAACCAATCAGAGTTGGGCTTATGTGGGTTTATAATCTCTTACAGATAATAGATTTTTTTTTTTTTTTAACCCTTTGGTATGGCCAGGATTTCAGAGATTTTTGCTCAGTGTTGGACAGCCTGGGGCGCTGTTGTGTTTCAGGTGCATGGTATCGTCCAGACTCAGCCAAATCTTTCTCTCCATCAGGGAAAGCGGCGCGGAGCGGGGGATGCATTCAGGGCTGCTTGAACATTTGAATACTTCATAAGATGTTCAGCAATATAAGTAAATCAACATAAACACTAATGCATCAATAACAATGATCCAAAAATGACATCTTATCTGGGGTAATCTTACCTCAAAAGTCATTTTGAACAATACAGATTAGTTAGTAATGCAAAAGAATAACAATAATGTAAAATTTTGATGTTGCTCTGACTTTAATTGAAACATAAATGCTAGATAACACAGACATTAATTAGGGTCCGAGCATGCTCCAGTTGCTCTCAAACTTCACATGTTGCATCACACTCTAACTCTCATCACAGCCATATGACCACTCTCACTGACAGCGGCACCTGGGGGCGTGGCCAAAGGTTACCACTATTACATTAGCTATTATGTTAATATACAAAATGATAGTGTACATATTTTATCAGAAATCTAACATTTGTAAAGGTAGAATGGGTGGCTTCTTACCCTCACAAGTCCTACATTTTTACATCGAAGATAGTTTAGGGATTTCTTTTGTATTTGGATAATCATCCATATGACTCTCCTGTTAAGGTTTTTTTTTTTTTAGTGTATATGTATATTCTTTTAAAAAATTATAATAATCATTAATAGAAGCCTATTTCATACCGTCAGGATATTACATCACCTTTCTTCCTTTTATTTAATTCCCTCCCTCCAGGAATATGATTTAAATTCCATTTAAAGATTAGTAAGGTCACTATCATCCAAGAAAAGACCTGAAATGTAAAAACAGTTTGCCATACGTTTTTATTTAGCAATCTATTTATTTATTTATGTATGCTCACAAATAGTCGACAGATGGTTACTAATTCCGACTCTTCAGGCAGCACCTGAAGGCAGCATCCTCGTCGTCCCGGGTGAACAGCGTCACAGCCGAGATGTGTCATTTCGACGGATAAATTACCGACCGTCGAGACCGTCCCGTCTCCCGTGCTGTTCCCACACCAGGATAATGCCAGAGAACGGCCGTTAGCGGCGATCATTTCTGCTCGTTTTTACCGATGAAAACACCTGCTCTGTAAAACAGCCTCTCTCGGTTCGTGTTCAGGATGGGGATGGTCTTTCTGACGGGCAACATGTCCCTCATCTCGTTGACTTTGGCGCTGCTGGCCGTCGTCCTCTGCACTTCTCCGGGTAAGATTATGGCTCTGCATCCAGGCCGCGCCGCTAATTAACGGTTTAGCGGTTCATCCCGGTTGCTGTTTTTGTTTTTTTCTACCTGCACGGCGGCTGATTATTTCCTGCCGTTTATAATCACAGACCACCGCCGACCAGGACCCCGCAGCACTAACATGATGTCTTGCTGCTTTCTGGCTGTTCAATTGTAAACCCCAAACCTCGATGTTTATTTCAGGCCTGGATATCTACAACTAACCCGCTCACCGTCTAGGTCCGGCTACTTCTGGCTTCCAGTGGTGTGGTCCTCCGTCAACTAGTCCTTCCGGCGTTTCTATATTCATTTAAATATATTGTTTATTTAGTTAAGCTAGCAGTAACTCGGTAAACAGGATGCTAGCTAATATTAATGTTAGCCTGACCGTTAGCTACAAGCTTTGCAGGTTTCTTTGTTTTTCAACTCTCGAACTTCTAAAGAATTTCATTTTGTGTAGTATTTTTATACAGTTTGTTGCAAAATGTACAAATTCGTTACATCTGACTGACAAGCTCTTAGAAAGTACAAAGAGTACAACAATGGGAGACTGATAGTAAGGGCATTTTATGAGATTTTTTGCAAATCTGGCAACTAAATCGTTACCAAACAATTTCTTCACCAATATGTTTGTAAAGGTGTGTAATAACATGCCTTAAAATGTTGAAGTTCAATTCCCGTGGGAAACCTAAAAAAAAAACCTGCTCAAGTTAGGATACCGATAACCGATTGACGAAAAATCGATTTTTAAAAATCTGGCCTTAAGAGTGCATCCACGATAGGACCAGGCGGGGGTGGCACAAGCCATCTCACCGATTTCAATGAAACTTTGCCAGTTTAAAGGG